CAGTCTGTTGTTTTTGAACCATTGAATAACCGATTGAACATCATTATTGATCTCATTTATCAACACATTTATTTTTTTATTACTCTTGAATAGGTTCGTGTCATCAGCATACATGACATAATTAAAGCTGTTTGAGGAGTTTGGTAGGTCATTGATATAAATGGTGAACAACAAGGGGCCAAGGATGCTGCCTTGAGGAACTCCTGAATTGATCTTTTGCAGTCTTGAATCATTTTCATTCCATCTTACGTACTGCCATCTATCACGCAAATAACTTTCTAGCAACTTTGAGGCAATCCCTTGTATTCCATAATGTGCCAACTTACTGAGAAGAATTTCATGATCAACACAGTCAAAAGCCTTGCTCAAATCCAAAAAAATACCAGCAGTGAACTTTTTTTCTTCTGATGCCTTACCAATGCTGCGAACTAGTTCAAGTATTGCCATTTCAGTTGAAAATTTTTTTCTAAATCCATATTGACTCACCCACATCATCATCTCAACATCACTCACCCACATAACCATAGTGATATAGAATGTAATGAAATTGGTGAAGAAGATAATGAAGGCGATTCTTATTTTTGAACATGGGAACCCACTGCGCCATCCAGAACAGCATCACTATTACTGACGTCTGCTTCGGCGGGCACACACACACAAATGTACATAAATATTATATATCTATACATAACTGGTTGGCCAAATGGTGTAATGGTTAAGTTGCTTGGTAACTGGATTCGAATGCGAAGAGATTTCAGCCCACCACATTCAATTCACGCGTATTAATTTCGCAGTGTGTTCGTTTGTGTGTTTGTTCGTTTGTGTGTGTGTTCGTTTGTGTGTGTGTTCGTTTGTGTGTGTCGTGTTGTTGATACATCTGCGAATTAGTTTTAAAAGAAATAATATTAATATATATTGATACATAAAATAAATATTGATTTGTTCTATTATTAAGTCTTCATATCATAATATTATTATAACCGTTTATTTGTAAATATATATATATTACGTTTTTTGGAGTAATAGAAATGTTGAAAGGGCCCTAAACTAAATGGCTCCTATAACTATCGCCCGAAATATCAAAAATCTAAAAATTATTTTACGAATATTTACTGTTGGCAATGATGCCATTGACGAGAGATGAACAATTTGATCACGTGGTTTGCTGTAGTGTGGAGGAGGAGGAGGAAAGGGAGGAGGATGCTAGGACAACGATTGTCATGATAATGATGACGATAATTTCGATGGTGAGGACAACGACGATGATGGTGGATGACGATGTTGATTTGGGTGATGATGATGATGATTGGGGCAATGTGGTGGGGATGATGGTAGTCTACTTATAAGAATGAATCACCTAACGTCAGGTTAATGACGTTGTTTGACTGTTTGTATTGTTTGTTGTTGTTTGATTTTTGTTGTTGTTGATGTTGTTGTTTGTTGTTGTTTATGTCGTTGTTTAAGTTTTAATTATTAATATTGATATTTGCGATGTGAATCATTGTATCTGCTAGCAAAATGTTGTTGTCAGGGTTATCAATTTCTGCGAACATTTAGATTTGTAAATGAAAATTAAGCAATTTAAGAAAACATGAATAAATGAATGAATGAATGAATGAATGAATGAATAAATGAATGAATGAATGAATGAATGAATGAATGAATGAATGAATGAATGAATGAATGAATGAATGAATGAATGAATGAATGAATGAATGAATGAATGAATGAATGAATGAATGAATGAATGAATGAATGAATGAATGAATGAATGAATGAATGAATGAATGAATGAATGAATGAATGAATGAATGAATGAATGAATGAATGAATGAATGAATGAATGAATGAATGAATGAATGAA